CATAGGCACGGACAGATACCCATATATATGTAAATAATGTTATGTTATCAGAGATCTGTCAGATTAATCTGGGCTACCTGCTGGTTCAACGCCAGCTCATAACTGGCCCAAGTGCATGAAGTTCCCAGAAGACCAGGTGGGCTCGGGTGACTCCCACAACAGGTATCTCTCTTGTGGCTGAATTCTTCACTTATGGCACATGCTGCCCTCATGAAACACTTCAAAGTACAGGTGGTCCTGTCAATGCTGCTTTTTCCACACCCTTTCAATGGTGTCCCACCTCTGTGATGTTTCCCTGTGGAGAGGGACTCTGAATGTCTCCTCTCTAACGTGTTAAGACTCTCATGGAAAGCCTGGAATATGTTTATGCCCACTAAAATCACTGAAGATGAGCTTTATAGGGAGTTTTTTAACTTTCTTATGATTAAGAACATATTTTTCAAGCCATTATCACCTAGAAGTTTCTTTTGTGAAATTTCTTGCCATGTGTTTCACTTCTAGAAATGTAGCCTTGCTTATGGCTTCTTATGACCTACTCTGTAAATATTAGCCTCCTTCAAACTGCAGGGACAAAAATGGAATTCATGTGAAAAAGGAAGTTTTTTGCCTAACTGATAAGGGGGGCCTGGTCTGAAAATTTATCTGAGGTTGTGGAGGCCTGTGCTGCCTTCTTCCAGTGAAATTATGCTGTGTAAGTGGACTGTGACCCCCCAAAAATTACTCAATTGTGTAAAACAAATAGATGTTGCCAGTTTACAAGTGCTTTAAAAACAAAGCATCATCTAGTCACTGTCAGTTATTAGATAATTTAACACAACATCAAAAGAATCAAGGCAGTTACCTGATTTCTTCCATATCTGCTGAGTTAATCAATATAATTTCTGGCCAGTGTTAAAACAAAATGAGAATAAATATAGTAGGAATAAATTAAAAGACATCAGTGAGAAAGGATGTTAAATGCTCCTCATTAATCTGCCAGGAAAGCAAGATTAAAACAATTACAGTTTAAAATTTTACACAGGTTTCATTAAACTCCAACCAGACTTTTCAATGAAGGATTACTGCTCAATGGCAATTGTTAGAGATGCCATCTAAGAGAGCGGAAGTATTATCAGTATTTTATAGTCATGTAAAAATGTAATAACTTTTGCTCACAATTAACTAATACAATTTTGAGCTGGAATATTGATTGGAAATCACATCACACATAGCAGCCCTAGGTGATTAAGAGGAGATGTTGGGTTCTTCTAATGGCAGTTGGACATGAATACTTCAGATACTTAGTTATCAGCCACACTGCTGACTTTTGCTTATGAAGGAGAGCAGGCTTTGCAGGCTGTTTTCCTATTCTTCACATGACAGAGAGAGAAATAGAGTATTAACTACATGTGTGCTCAATACAGATGTACTGATGTGGAGGAAGAGGCATTTGTGTGGTTCAAGATCTGAATTACTTTCTTCTGGAATCAGTAGGGGTGGAAGAGGACAGACAACTTTCTGTTCATGACTGGCATTTGAAAATGACACAGTTGTCAATGTTTGCCTAGTGCATTGATCATGCTACATTATTCATCTACTTAGTCCTTTTCTGATGAGCAAAGGAAGCCTGAAATGAAAACTTCATTACTCTGAAAATGAAGTACCACAGATGTAAGATTGGCATTTGCAGTCCTTGCATACTGTGTGCGCTCCTCCTTGGCTGACATGTAGCTAATGCTGGCTAAAAGTTGTTTCTAGATCTAGAAGAGTACCCCAAATTCTGGGATAAAAGGAGATATTTTGTTCTTCCACATCCACCTCATCTTCTTTGTCACTGACTGTAAAGATTCCAGTTAGTTTTCGGGTTTTGTATGCAGCTGAGATTAGGAAAATTGTAGCAAAGAAACAGAGAGGGAAAGCACATTTGAAGAGAAGAGATAATCACATTTCTAATTCTGTGAAAAGTCTCAGAAATGTAACCTATTTAAAGTTTCAAAGCTATGAGAAAGCAAAACTGCAAGTCTTTTTCTCTTTGTGAGTCGACATGAAGTTAGGATAAGAATTTGGACATAAAACAATATTTTGCATCTATATTCAATGGTCAACCATGGTTTTCCCTCAGGCAGAAGAAAATGAATCAGGTTGGCAACATCAACAAATATTTTCTTAAATCTCTTTACTATTGTTTATGTCATTTGTTTTTCATTTGTGTTTCCTCTTGCCCTGCTTTATTCATGTTGACATCGCTCTTCTAGTGAAATATCTCCTTCCTATAAAATTTGGCATTTAGAAGTTATTTGAAATGCAGCGTTCCTGAAAACAAGAATTAAAGTCTTTTAGAAGATTGAAACTCATAATTACAATATTAAAGTAAATAAGGAGGTTCAACCATAAATTAATATAGTTTTACCTGAATATTGTTTTAATTTTAAACCAGTAATTCTTACAAAGACAGAACTTGCTGCCCTGCTCACATAGATGAAATGATACATACACACTTGTTGGCATACTGTCATCTTTTTTTATTGTATCCTAATTGGAGATTCTCTTGTGTCTTTCTTCATTTTCATGATGATCTTTTATTCTATTTCTGTATTGTTGCATTTCATTGTTAAAATAAAATATAATTAAAAATTTGAGAACAAAAATAAGAGTTAGAAAATCCATGTTAAATGAACAGACTTATTCTTAGTGCTAGTAAGAATATTTTCTTTTCCTCCTAGATTCCTGAGCCAGCTGTTCTCCTAGAAACAGCCAAAATTTTGAAGTTTAGTCCTTCAACCCTTCAACAAGAAAAAAATTGTCCTTTATACCTATATTCCTTTTAATTTACTTTTTTCTTTGTCATTGAGCACAAAATCAAATTTCATACAATAGTAAGAAAACACACTGTTTTTTGTCATTTGGTCAAACTTAAACAAAGTAATATTTTTTTTTGTGCTATTTTAAAAATACATGACAAAATTAGATATATAGTTATACCCTTTGATGAAATTGTTTAACAAGTAAGTATTCTATAATTTATTTTTTAACTCCCTACAAGACTGCAGACCTGACATTGAAGAACAATGGAATTTGTCATGTTTCTGAACTGAACCTGCCATGCTATCTAGAATCCTGCTAAATTTATCTCTGTCTATTTAAAGTCACAATACAAAATGTAAAAGTCAGAACTGGCTTTTGAAGAATAGTACCAAAAGGCAGTACAAGATTAGACCTTTTTATGCTTATGCCTAAGTTTAGTCACAGTAGCAAAATGTTGTATAGCAGTCAATTAATTAGGGTTTCTTTTTGTGAGTGCAGAAAGTAAAATATTTGACAACATGGGGTAATGAGGTGGTAAAGGGAAGATCTCCTTCCTTCACAGAGCCTGTTGAGGCATGATTTGGCTTGCTGTGGTGTGCTGAAATCGAGTGCAGGTTCTATCCCTTCTAAGACTACACAGCTGAACCTAATTTTACCCTATTCAAAGACAAGGAACTTCAGTTAGCATCTACCACATCCTGGCCCCTTACTCTGTGTGTTATATGGTGGCACCTCCCACAGTAAAAGTTCTAATACTCACAGAACCTCAAACTAATTGTTATTGCATGACAAACATATGGAACCACAATTCATATTTACAAGTATTAGCTGATTGCACTGAATATATTTAATCTTGTTTTCACCACTTGATTTTGATTTTTAGTGGAACTTTCCCTGAAACAAACACTCTTTAAAACTTATTTTAGGGATACTGGAGCTTGTATTAAAGTATGCTTTCAAAACCATATTTTTGAAAAATAAAATATTTTTCAAAGTATTATACATTGGAAGTAGGAATGATACAGTAATAAAATAAGTTAATAAAGTTATGAAGTTCTTCCACCAATAGACACTCAGAAGGTGTCTATATTCATATCATCAAAGACCTGACATAGTTGGCTTCTCTACACTGCTTTCCTCGGGCCTTCAGGCTGAACTGTTCATACAATCAGTCCCAAACACATTTTACTCATCATGAGTCAGACCAGTTTCAAAGTTTAAATAGGAGATCTTAGCTAGCTTAATTCATTTAGATGGAGGCAGGTGAGGAAAATCTTGCCCAAAGAGCAGAGTAGACAGATTTTAGCAAGGTGGTTACTGCTACTAGGATGGTGCCAAGCAGGATGGAGTAGATTGGAAGGTGAGGCTGAGGCCAGTGCAAGAGGATCAGCAGCCAAGCTGATCCTGCTTATTCTGTGTACTGGGACTTAGTCTTCTGTGTCAGCAAGGATAAGACAACATTCTTCTGGGACCAACCCTCTTTTTTGGGTTCTTGAGGTAAAGAACAAAGTTGAATAGTTCCTAATTTGGTCGTTCCAATGTGGGATGGAAACACCAAGTAAAACAGTGGCCTGGGTTATTCCCCACCAGTAGGAAGCCATCAAGTTTTGGATTCAAATCCTAAATGATAGGTTTATCATTGATTAGTCTTACTGATAACCAGACACTCTTCCTATACTCCTGGAGTCTGGGAACATTCAGACTTGGAGTCTGGATTTGTGGACATCTTTGATTTGATTCACACTTGCTACTTGTGTACTTGCTGCCAACATTGTTTAGATAATGCAGCACATCTGACAAGCTCTGTAGGAAAAGCATGTCAAACAATAATGCTCTTTGTTGTGGCCTGGCTGAAATGTTAAACGAGGCTTTAAACTATAGTGGAGTCAAGAAAAGATTAAAACATTTTTTAACAAAGGCTTCAAATGCAGAAATTAAGCAACTTAGTCCTTCCACATCACAATCCTTGGATCACAGCCAGGGTAACATTTACAGTGTATTGAAGGGGCTCATTCATCTTGCAGATAAAGAGATTTTTTGTTTTGTTTTGTTTTGTTTTAAAAAGGGAATATATTTTCAATGTAAAATCTCGATCTGTCCAAGTATGCCAGAATCACACTACATGTTAATTCTTAAAATTATTTTGTTGCTCATGTGAATATAACAAGAAATATATTACCCTCTTTTTATTATATACTTTTTCTCTGTATTATTAGATTCCTATATCTGAAGACTGGTGATGTTGCTGAATGCTTTGACCTCCAGTGTAACCCAGACCAAAGAACATCAGACAATATTTTGCATTTTGTTTCAGGTAAAGTGCTTTTTTTAAGACATCTGATACTAATATAAAATCTTCAAACCAGATCCCACAAAGACCTACAATCATTTTTGAAAAAAGAAAACCAACAACAACAAAAAAAAGCAAAACCAAAACCTGTACAAGACTTGTTTTTAAAAGATTCTTTTATAAGTGATTCAAGAAAAAATAGTCTTTCATGTAATACTCCAGTGGTTGCTGCACTCAGGAAGTGTGAATACTTGGATCTTCACTCCGAGTGAAGCAAGTTGCAAACCTCTGCTTTCTGCTTCTGAGGAGACTGTCCTAAGCATCAAACAATAAGCTCATTGATGATGGGAACTTTGTTCTGCTGAAGGTGATTCCACCCACCAAGAGAAGAGTGAGTAAGATATCACATAACTCTATCCTAGCAGAAGTGAGCCTTTGGGAGGAGTGAGGCTTGGGGAGGAATGAGGCTTGGGGAGGACTTTTCTATAAGAAAAACAAATTAAACTTTGAATTTGTGACTGAATTATGTCTCAGTCTCGACTTATATGCCAAAAAATAATTTCTCAGAGGAAACGCAGGATGGGAGAGAATCAATCACATGTCTGGATAAAATAAGCAGTACTAGGATACAGGTACTTTGATGGACTTTAACATAGTAGAACATAAACTACTCTTATTTGACTAGGTGGAAAAAATGTCAAGAAAAAAGGTGCTTTCTTCTTCTATGAAGAGTAAATGAAATCATATCCTCTTTCACAAATTATGCAAGAACAGCTAAAAAGGACACCGGTAATATGATTATGAACATGTGTGTAGTTGTATGAGTGAAAGTGTCTTCTCTGTTACAGGTTGCAGTAATATCAACAGGATTCCTGAATACTACCTGATTTTAAGGACGAATGAATGGATACAAATGCATTACCACTTTCCAGCTGTATGCACATGTCAATGGTTGATCCAACTAGCAGGCAAAATTCCCTGGTCCGACGTGCCACTTCACAGCCTTACAAGTATCCCTCTGGCTTTTCAGATGCATCCCTCTAACACAAAGCAGACGAGACCAGCAGTCCCTCCACCCTGTACTGCAGCTGCTCTTATTCTGCTCCAGTAATCAACCACTTGCTACATCTTCTACTTATACTCAGCACTGATATAGGGTATTTTTTCCATTGCAAATGTGGGCCAAAAAGATTTCTACACGACTCATTCATTTTCTTCTATGGACCACTGTTAAGTTTAAGCACTATGAACTATATTCATAAACAAATAAAATCTCATAGACCCAAACCTTGTCTTTGATCATTTGTGACTATGCAGTTGGATATTTCTGTTCACAGCTGAGTCTCTATATTAAACAATAAACTTATTGTGGGCTACAAAGCCATGTGGAAAGGCTTCTGATATAGCAGTAATATAATATTTTCCACTATATTCAAGTGTCTGCTCTTTTTGCAGAATCTTCCTTCATACTTTTTCATATTTTAGATGAATAAGACATTTTTTACAAAATATTTGAAATTTCATTAAGCTCAATAGCAAATATCTTAGTTTACCATTTGATTACTACTATTTAGTACAGTTTACCCCAGATTTTTGAGTGTCTAATAATGAATATTAGGAGAAGAAATTGTTTCCATAGAGAATAATAACAATTCCCATTTAATAATGTCACCTGTAATTAGAATGAACAAAGTGATTAACAACATATAAATGAAATTTTCCAGTTATATTCTAGTTGTTTCAAAGTGCCTTATGAATATAGGTGAGTAAATAACGGGAAGTTTCAGTCTCATGGCTCATCTACCTGCGAAAATATAAGGGAAGAAAATCAGTTATGATGAAAGCAGAAGTTCTTTTTGGGGACAGAAGAGAAACAACTCCTTTCCTATTATGATTTTATAAATTCAAAACATGTTTTTTTATCCCACCATTTTTGTTGTGTTACGTATTTCAAAATTATTTAAATCCTGTATTTTTCCTCTTTCCATTTAAATTTTTGTTGTTCTCTTTAATGAAAAAATTTGTCTGACACAAAATCCCAGAAGTTTTACTTGAAAATGTCAAAACAAAGCTATTGCCATTTCAAAATGTTCCCAGGTGTGTATATATATATATGTTGTTTTCATTTCAGTCAACTTTTTCACATAGTTTTGGTTTCCAAAGGTTTTTTTGGCAAATTTGGTATTCATTAAAAATTTTGCCCCACTTCATTTACAAACATAAGCATATCCACATAACACCCTTTGAGGTAGCAAAGTGTCATTGACCTACTCCAGCAAAGCAAAACTCCAAATTATTTCTGTGGAAGAAAGACAGAAATGAGTTTCATCTATTGAAATAACTCAAGTCAGTGAGCTCAGCTTCCCACCAAAGGCACTTGGCATGCTTCAGACTTCAAGCTCTTACTTGTCTACAAGCTTCTTGCTCTGAGGTTTGGTGTTCCCAGCAGTGTACCGGTAGGTCTTGTCCCATGACAACATACCACAGCTCCCTTCCACCTTCCATACCTGACCTTCTTTCCCATGGAATCAGGACAGGGAGGATGGTATATACCCAAATCTTATCATGGTATGAGTTTGGACAGCAGCCAGGCTCAGGATCTGAAATTATTTGCAGGTTAAACACTAGGGACATACAGGTATGTCTGTCCATCTGATATAAGCTTCTCCAACACTTTCCCTCAACCCCTTCTCTGGCTCTTCGCCTGGAAGAAAGGATGGCTGGATGGGGTCAGGCATCAGGAATCATAGCTTTTACAAGCCATCTGTTTCACATATCTTCTTTTCACATAGACCTGTTACAGACAGTTATGGGAGGAGAGAGGAAGGCAGAAGTACATTTTTGCCCAGACAGGAGCATGGATTAAGTATGAGATATGTATACCTAAGGTGGAGGAATTTACTCCACCTGTGTACATACCAGCATGAGCTGTGTGCACATATAGGTCTTGGGTGGGGATGACAGTCTTGTCTTTATCTCCTCTCAGATAAACAGAGCACACTGTTCTTGAAGTCAAAAGTAGAGAAAAGAAACAAAAACAAATTGGTTTTCAAGCAGGGAACTCAATTCTGCTAGTAAATGTAGGTTTCTGCAATGACAACTGCCAGGTGTTATTTCATGGTCTCTTGAGGTATTGTGCCAAGGGTAAGAGACAGAAAAGAACTATCAATCCAGGCAAGTGGATATAAAATGCATGGATCAAACTAATGAACAGAAAAAAACCTGCTTTCTATGAAAAATAAGCTGACTCAAGCACTGTTTGACACAGTCAATGATAGGTAGGAACAGTAGTCTACTTTTATTGGTATTTGGCCTGACCTACCTGGCTTTAGAAAAGGGTCTCAATTATTTTCTGTAATTGAATGAGCTAGATTTATCAATTAGTTTACCCACATGAGATATTCCTGTAAATGATTAAACAATGTGAAATTTTTAGAAATTTGTTAGCAATATCAAGGCAATCCATTTTTTTTACCAGCTTTCAAATGAGTCAGCTTTCAGCTATGGTGCAGGAAATCCATGCAGAGTTTGTGACATTTAGCAAATATTCTAAATCTGTCTCCCACAAATGCAAGTACATAATTTACAAGGAAGCATGCTGTGGGATTAAACAGAACACAAAACTTAAGCCATGTGCTTCCTCAGGACCATCTCAAATACTTAATCACCTCTTTGCAACAAACAGCTGCCAAGATGCTAAAATATGCTTTGTGCTTATGATGTATTCGACTGACATCCTGTCAGGTAAATCACTTGGTTGCCCCGTGTTCTTCCCAGGGGTCTGATGGCTCCAGGGATTGTTGGTAGAAAATGGAGTCTTGCACTTGTAAGGTCTTTGGTCTGTATCCACAGAAAGCTAAAAAGTGCAAAATCTTCCATATCTCTTTTTATGTTCCCAATGCATATATTGTTAAGAGAAGACAGAAGGAGCTATTTGCAGTATGCAACAAAATGTTTAATTACTCTGCAATCCTGCATGCCATTTAGGGCCTTAGTTGTTTAGCTGAAGCTCACACAGGCAATAAAACCCATCAACACTGGCATTAATTGGAACTCCAGTGAACAGTTTCGGCATTTGTCTTTCTACCTGTCACTTCAAGGTGGAGTGTTGTTCTGTCAGAAAGATACCTCCTCCCAAGTGACAATGAAACAGAACATTAGCATACCATGGAGGAATTCCTGTTTACTCCATCATATATTTAGAATTAATTTGGGTTCCGATGCTGTCCATCTGGATCACTTAAAAAAGAATTCCTATAAATCCTGCATGTTTTCTGTTACTAAGGAAGACCACCTTCATGTGCAATACTGCTTCTCACGTGAAGGCTTATGCCCTGTTTTATTAAAAGTAAAAAACAGAACTAGGAGGAGATACTACCTTACAATTCATAGGATTATGACAGCGGCTTTTAAGTGCTCTGCATAAATCAAAAACATTTACAGGGGTTTTGTTGACAAGCAAGCAAGGAAAAGATTAGATGAGATGAGTTAGTTTTCTCTCTGTGTTGGTTTAACAGTTGCACCAGTGGAAAGAAAAGGACCAAACAGGTTGAATAACTTTAAAATATTTATTTGCTTTTCATAGTAACTGATTGCATCCCAGCTATCACAAGGCTATGTGACAAAAAGAGTGCACAGTTTAATAGAAAATTATAGTAACAATGACTAATGTAAACAATTGAATCAATTTCTATTGAGAAATCAGTAAAAGAACATACATGATATCATACAGACCTGGCTTCTTCCTACAGATTTTTCTAGTTGTAGAGTTCAGCAGACGTTTATATTTATGCTCCAGAATTCCTGATATGCACTTAAAAATGCAGTATTGTACTAAAATCTACAGTATTTCTTCCATGACAAGAGGTAATTAAATACTCTTCTGCCTGCTGAACATCTTCCACTAATATGCAGTTCAGTCCTTTCTCTGTTGGGATTCAGGCATTATCATTCCTTCTATGAGCTCTGATTCAGGCTCTCTGCTTAATAGGGAAGACTTAGTAGTCTTTCTGCAGTCAGTGCTCTTTCTAAACCTCTACCTTGATTAAGAGCTGAAAAAATTTCCAGGTGGAAAAATACTGACATTGTCAGCACACTTGTTTTTCAGAGATGTTACAAAATATTTGACTACAATGGCAGACAGGGATGCTCAGACCCCAACAAAAGGCCATGTAAATAGTTAAAAATAGACACCAGCAGAAGCAATAGAGCTTTCCTGCTAATATGAAATGGTGTGCTTAAAAAAAAAAAAATATTTGAACAGCTAAGTATCAAGAAAT